CTGTGTCTTGGCTTCTTAATTCAGATGTTTCTCCTCAGGCTGCTGGTATTATTTCTTCACTGCCTTTCTTGTAGTTTCTCCTGTTGGTCCCCGATGGCTGAGTTATCACTGCAGCCTCACACACTGCCCAGATTCGGGGGCAAAGCAGTCCTGGGTTTGGGTGGGCGCCCCCACTTCAGCAGGTGGGATGGTGCCTCTCCACTCCTCGTGGCCTGGATGGAGCAGCTCCCTTGGGGCTGGAGGGTCCAAATGGCCTCACTCATGTCCGATGCCTCTCCTGGGTGGGCTGGGATAGCTGGCGGTCGACCGGGTGTCACCTCCCTTCACTGTCTGGTGTCTGCAGTGAGCCTCACCTGCTGGCCTCTCCCCCCAGCGGGAACATGGACTCCTTCACACGAGGCGACCTTCCAAGGGGGCAAAAGTAGGAGTTTCCAGGCATCTTAAAGCCTGGGCCCCGGACTGCACAGCATCATGTGGCCACACCCCATCCATTGGAGGAAGGGGACCCTTCCAGTGGGAGTGACATGTACCTGCAGGGTGGGAGGGGTCGTTGGAGGTCACCTTGACTGATGCTCTACCTCAAGCGACTTGTTTAGGTGAAGAGGACTGGGAATACTCTGTAGGGATGCAGGTCACAGGTGGGTCAGAACTGCCTGAGCATCCTCCTCCTCCTTCTCCAGCATCCTCCTCATCTTTCTCTGGCATCCTCTGCCTCCTTCTCCTCCGACATCCTTCTCCAGCATCCTCCTCCTCCTTCTCCGGCATCCTTCTCCAGCATCCTCCTCCTCCTTCTCTAGCATCCTCCTCCTTCTCCTCCGGCATCCTCCTCCTCCTTCTCCGGCATCCTTCTCCGGCATCCTCCTCCTCCTTCTCTAGCATCCTCCTCCTTCTCCTCCGGCATCCTCCTCCTCCTTCTCCGGCATCCTTCTCCGGCATCCTCCTCCTCCTTCTCCACATCCTCCTCCTCCTTCTCCGGCATCCTTCTCCAGCATCCTCCTCCTCCTTCTCTAGCATCCTCCTCCTTCTCCTCCGGCATCCTCCTCCTCCTTCTCCGGCATCCTTCTCCGGCATCCTCCTCCTCCTTCTCCACATCCTCCGCCTCCTTCTCCGGCATCCTCCTCCTCCTTCTCTAGCTTCCTCCTCCTCCTTCTCTAGCATCCTCCTCCTCCTCCTCCGGCATCCTTCTCCAGCATCCTCCTCCTCCTTCTCTGGCATCCTCCTCCTCCTTCTCTGGCATCCTCCTCCTCCTTCTCTAGCATCCTCCTCCTCCTTCTCCAGCATCCTTCTCCAGCATCCTCCTCCTCCTTCTCCGGCATCCTCCTCCTCCTTCTCCGGCATCCTCCTCCTCCTTCTCCAGCATCCTCCTCCTCCTTCTCCGGCATCCTCCTCCTCCTTCTCCGGCATCCTCCTCCTCCTTCTCCGGCATCCTCCTCCTCCTTCTCCGGCATCCTCCTCCTCCTTCTCCGGCATCCTCCTCCTCCTTCTCCGGCATCCTCCTCCTCCTTCTCCGGCATCCTCCTCCTCCTTCTCCGGCATCCTTCTCCAGCATCCTCCTCATCCTTCTCCGGCATCCTCCTCCTCCTTCTCCGGCATCCTCCTCCTCCTTCTCCGGCATCCTTCTCCAGCATCCTCCTCCTCCTTCTCCGGCATCCTCCTCCTCCTTCTCTGGCATCCTCCTCCTCCTTCTCTGGCATCCTCTTCCTCCTTCTCTGGCATCCTCCTCCTCCTTCTCCGGCATCCTTCTCCAGCATCCTCCTCCTCCTTCTCTGGCATCCTCCTCCTCCTTCTCCGGCATCCTCCTCCTCCTTCTCTAGCATCCTCCTCCTCCTTCTCCGGCATCCTTCTCCAGCATCCTCCTTCTCCTTCTCCAGCATCCTCCTTCTCCTTCTCCAGCATCCTCCTCCTCCTTCTCCAGCATCCTTCTCCAGCATCCTCCTGCTCCTCTTCCAGCATCCTCCTCCGGCATCCTCCTCCTCCTTCTCCGGCATCCTCCTCCTCCTTCTCCGACATCCTCCTCCTCCTTCTCCGGCATCCTCCTCCTCCTTCTCCGGCATCCTCCTCCTCCTTCTCCGGCATCTTCCTCCTCCTTCTCCGGCATCCTTCTCCTCCTTCTCCGGCATCCTCCTCCTCCTTCTCCGGCATCCTTCTCCTCCTTCTCCGGCATCCTCCTCCTCCTTCTCCGGCATCCTTCTCCAGCATCCTCCTGCTCCTCCTCCAGCACCCTCCTCCTCCTCCTCCTCCAGCATCCTCCTCCTCCTTCTCCGGCATCCTCCTCCTCCTTCTCCGGCATCCTTCTCCAGCATCCTCCTCCTCCTTCTCCGGCATCCTCCTCCTCCTTCTCTGGCATCCTCTGCCTCCTCCTCCGGCATCCTCCTCCTCCTTCTCCAGCATCCTCCTCCTCCTTCTCCAGCATCCTCTTCCTCCTTCTCCAGCATCCTCTTCCTCATTCTCTGGCATCCTCTGCCTTCTCCAGCATCCCCTGCCTCCTTCTACGGCATCTTCCACCTTCTGGGCCCAGTGAGACCTGCGACAAGAGGTCGTTCAGGGTTTGGTGCAACTCACAAGGTGAAAAAAAGATCACTGAGTATTCAGGACTTCATTTCAGCTTAAAGTTTTATATTTTGCATGAAGAACCAAGGGAGAGAAACTCAGGGGAGAGGGTCTTTGTAAATCTTCTCCAGTTTTCAAGCATGGTTCTCCAGGTCTCAGGTTTAGCTGAGGCTGCTCTCAGCGTCCACGCAGACTCACCCAGCCTGGTGGCCCACCCCAGACTGTCACTTTTGACCCTAGACCCTCCACTCCCCCCCATGCCCTGTCCTTCTGAACCAGTGGTTCTTTCTCAGACTACCGGGGGCTTTCTGCCCCTGCCTTGTCTGCCTGGGGAATGTCTGTCTGTCTGTTATGGAAGTCCCTAGTCAATTTCTCCCTTTCCACCTGGGAGCTCACACTAAAGGACCCTCTTCTGGGCTGTCTGCCTCTCTTTCTCCTCACAGCTGGGGCCTGACTTGTCTGAGGGGTGACGGGGAGCTGGGACCACCAAGACCCCTGTGTCCTCTCGGACTGTCCCAGTGGGTCTCCTCCCTGCAGAGCAGGTGCAGGGTCTGCTCGCTGACCTTGACCTGGGCCACGTGCCCGCTTCTCAGGGGAAAGACTGCTTCCCAGTGGGGCCTGGGAGTAGGCGGGCGAGGCCGTCCAATGGGCGGTGAGGTGGCAGCGCGCCCACCTGGCCGGATGGAAGGCCGTGCTTTCAGGTCAGCTTTGGCCAGAGATGATGCCAACTCCAGCCTCGTGCCCTCAGCCTGACCTCGCCTCACGTCCTCACTGTCCGCACGTCCCTCTTCTTGCCATCATCACGAGAAGTGGGGACAGCTCCCTGCTGCCGGGTCATCTCGGCCGAGCCGGTCCAGGCTGTGTCCGCAGCGCCTCAGGTCGCGGTGTTTGCTGAGCCGCATGGAGCGGAGTTGATGCATAAATATTTACGGGGTACACAAACATCCTCGAAAATTGGTTGTGAATCCCAAAGTGCGATTCTGACATCTGGAGAGTCTACTGAGAACGAGGACAATTAGAGACAGAAGGTGGAGAAGACAGTGGTGAGCACGGAGACGGGGCGGGAGTGTTCTGAGGGGAGGACCAGGCTGGGCTGCATGCCGTCGGGCAGAGGACAGAGACGGACGTGCGTGCTTGCGCGTGCACATGCACATACACACGCACACATGCACACACGCACGTGCACACACATGTGCGCACACACATGCACACGCGCGCGCACACACATGTACATGCACACACACACGCACGCGCGCACACACACACGCATACACACACGTGCACACACACGTGCACACACACACGCACAGCAAGCCTGAGGTCTAAGGAAAGACACGTTTGGACATGAAAAGTGAAAGGACATGCATGGAATTCAGTCAGATGCCAGTAAAGGTTTTCGGCAGCGAAGGGAAGCTGAGCCATTCGCTGGGACACACGCACACCTCTGTGAGCTCTCGGGGATCTGATAGCCTAGGAAGTGTCAGCTCTCAGCACCTCCGCGGGATCCCGGGGTGTGCGGAGCAGGCGGGCCGACTGCCGACCTGCGTTCCCGGTGCTCGCTTTTCGGGCTCCCCCGAGTAGACGTGGTCCTTCCTTCCGGAGACACGAGGGCCCCGTGGCTTGTCTCCAACCAGTGTCCTGCTGTGCAGGCGCTTAGCACCCATTTCCCACAGATGTTCCCTAGACGAGCAGAGCCGAGCGGCGCGGCCTTAGTGTCCTGTGAGCTGCTGGACTCCCAGCCACGCTCTCCGTGGCCCAGGGGTCTAGCAGCCCTGTATCTGTCTTCAGGACCCGCCCCCGCAGGAGGAGTCTGCCAGCCTCGCCACCCACTCAGGGGCCCACGTGAAATCCACTCACGGCCGTGGGACCGCCTGTCTTTCTTTTATTCTTTGTTCGTTTTTGTTCCTGTCAATCCTCGCCCGAGGATATCCACCCCCCCCCCCCCACTGATATTTGGATAGAATGGACGGGAGGGGGAGAGAGAGAGAGGAACATCAATGTGAGAGAATTGACTGGTTGCCTCCCAAATGGGGATCGAGCCGGCCTCCCAGATCCTGCCCTCGACCAGGAATCAAACCCTTTGTCCCAGGGCTGATGCTTCAACCACTGAGCCGAACCGGCCAGCCGGCCTGGCTCATCTTCCAAGCATGGGCCTCTGTGAAGTGGGGACTGACATCGCGGGCAAACACGGCCGTTCCTCCAGAGCACGGCATTGGCGCTAGCTGCGTGTAGACCGGGTAGCACTGCGGCTTAGAGAGGCGCGTGCCGGGGAGCGTGGAGGGGCCACTCGTGACCTGCCCTCTGCGCCCGAGGCCCCCCGTCTCGTGTGGGGGACTGACACCAGCCATGTCAGATCTGCCGTGGAACAGACAGCTTGCAAAATGCACCCCCAGATGACCGTCCAAGGACACTGGCTCAGTCACCTCGTGTCTGCGTGTCTCCCCGTCTAGGGGATACGCCACCAAGCACGTCGTGGAAGGACTGGAGCCGCGGACCCTGCACCGATTCCGTCTGAAGGTCACCAGCCCGTCGGGGGAGTCTGGGTGCAGCCCGGCGGTGTCAGTGTCTACCACCCGTGAGTATGCGGACCTGAGCCCCCGAGGAGCCGGGATGAGCAGCCAGGGTGCGCCCCAGGAGCCCCTGCCGCCCTCAATACCGCATCCAAGTGGGGAGGGACTCCCGGCTTTTCTGCTGGAGCTGATCGAAGTCGGGGCGCGCTCCGAGCCCTCTGGGGAGGCAGAGTCATCTCCGCCCCGCGGCTGGCAGGGCTGCGTGAGGCCAGGCGGGCCTTCTCCTTGCCAGGCTGGTGTCCGAGGGCAGCCACTCCTAACTGGTCCAGTGGTGGGGCGTTTGTCACCGCGGTCCACGGCTTGCCTGGGCGATTAGACAGGACCTACTGCAGGGACCCGGGCGTGGTGGAGACCTGGCTTCTGGCGCTGACCCGGCTTCTGGTGCTGACCTGGCCGCCGGAGCTTTGTAGACAGTCAGTCAGGTCACCGCACGGTGACGCTCACCTGGGGCTCCTGGCTGGCGAGGGTCAGGTGTGCGCTCCTCCCCGCCCCCCGGTGCAGCTCCCTCAGCCCTCGGTACCTGGATCACACCCCATGCAGACTCTCTTACGAAGACAGCCATGCTAAGCGAAGACTTAAAAGTGTGCACACGAAACATGCGAGATGCTCCTGTGCATTTGCATCCGGTTTGAAAGTGCTCTAATGAACCACAAGAGCATGTGCTTTGTTTGAATAAGAGATGCTCGGCCCCCTTTCCCAGGTGAAGTGCACGAGACTCTGGCTTACATGAGGCATGCCGTGTCAATCAGGCGGGCCCAGCTGCTTGTTGATGGGCAAGTCTCTTCTCCAATGAGCTCATCATTTAGGCACGGCTTTTATTTTATAAATTTTTTTCTGTATTGATTTGAGAGAGACAAGAAGGGAGAAGGAGAGAGAGAGAAACATGGATGAGAGAGAACATCAATGGGCCACCTCCTGCATGCCCCCCACTGGGGATCGGGCCCGCCACCTGGGCATGTGCCCTGACCGGGAATCGCATCGGTGACCTCTTGGTGCAGGGTCGACGCTCAACCACTGAGCCACACCGGCCAGGCTATTCGCTGCTGTTAATGGAGACTTAGATTCCACCAAGCAAGGTGTTATCACCACATCACAGTCTGGTGGCGATACCTTCAGCTAGATGACCCGCTTCCAGGGCCTGAGCAATGGCCTCCCAACGACCACACTGGCCCCTCCCCCCTGGGAGGAGGTGTCCCCCGTGTGGTCCTGCCTGACGCAGCCTAGCAGCGCGGGTGAGCCCTGGCGGGTGTCCTCCCCACGGGCAGCCTTCGCTCAATATTTGTCTTTGCAGCACTTGGGGTAAACATTAGAAAAAGACCAAGCCTGCCTTTTTCATATTCGGCCGCTCATGCTGATGGCCATCCTTCGGGCCCGGCCCACAGAGTCCCGAGGGGCCCGGGGGCGGGAGCGATGGAGCATTTGGCTCACCCTGGAATTTCCTCTCGGTTCTTCACGCCTCTCGCCTCGAGAGGGAGTGGGAAAGACCCGCCCCGCTCTGCAGCCAGAGCCCCCTCTCTCCTGTGTCCCCGTCCAATGCTCCCGTGTCCCTGCCCAATGCTCCCGTGTCCCCGTCCAACGCTCCCATGTCCCCGTCCAACGCTCCCGTGTCCCCGTCCAACGCTCCCGTGTCCCCGTCCAACGCTCCCGTGTCCCCGTCCAACGCTCCTGTGTCCCCGTCCAACCCTGTGAGCGCGGAGGTTGCTCAGCCCGCCCGGGGCCTGGTGTGCTCCTGCCTCTGCCCCACCAGGGGCCGCGAGGCGGTCAGGAGCCCAGGCCGAGGACAGTCACTGCTGCTCGCCGGGACTCGGGGGCGGGAATGATGGACAGGCCCCTCGCTCTCCCTCCCTTCCCGGAGATGTCCCTTTGTTCCCAGAATAAATGACGAGAGCACTGACCACCTCTCGCGGGAGCTGGGACAGGCAGTCGTCTCCGTAAATTAACCCTCATATCCGGGCCCTGCTCCTGGCTGCGCACGGCCCTCCGCTGCTGAGCACGCGTGAACGTAGCCATGTCCTGGTGCTCGCGGCCACAGGGCTTCCTGGCGGGGGTGCAAGTGAGCCCCCGCCCCGGGAGAGCCGCACGCTGGGGTCCACGGACGAGGGGCTCGTGGTGGTCGGCGCACCCGCGTGCTGGGATGCTGTGCGTGCTTGTCCGTGTTTCTGTTGTTTTTTATCCTCACCTGAGGTCATTCTTCCATTTTTTGTTCAGACAGAGTGGGAGGGAGAGAGAGGAAGAGAGAGAGAGAGAGAAACATTGACGTGAAAGGGACCCATTGAGTGGCTGCCACCCACACGACCCAACCAGGGCCGGGGACAAACTGCAACCGAGGTACATGCCCTCAGCGGGAACCGAACCCGGGTCTCTCTGGACCGCAGGCCGATGCTGTAACCGCTGAGCCAAACTGGCCAGGGCAAGGATACCATATTTTAACATGTAGTAGAAAAGAGATGAACTTCCCACGTTCTTCCGGAGGATGCTACGCGAATCCTTGCTTTGCATTTTCAGTGCACGTTGTAGGCTGAGAGTCTCGGGAGGGCGCTGTTGGTGAGGCCGGACGGCCCCACCCTCTGCCCTCCTCCTTCCCGGGAGGCGAGGGAAGGGGACGTTTCCTGGGCTTTGTCCATGGAAGTACGGGTGGGGCGCATACAGGTCATTTTACGTCCGTGTTCCCTGGGCCCGGGGTTTCTCCACCTCGGGACCGTGGACAGAGGTTGGTTGTGGGCTGTCGTGTACTGTAGGGCATTTGGTGACATCCTGGCCTGCCTGTTAGATGCCAGCAGCACCAGTACTTAAGCTGTGACAACCAAAAATGTCATAGACCGTACCAAATGTCTTCTGGGGGCAGAACCCTGCCCCTCCCCCTGGCCCCTGGCGGAACCCGCCGGCTGGGTGTGTTCCCCTGGGAAGGCCAGGGGCCGCGTGGGCATTGCCCTCCGACAGCGCATCACGATGTTTTATTTAAAGCTTTTGGCCGAAAACTATGCGTGGAATGATGGGAAGGAAGTGCAGTGTGGCCAAAGGAATCTTTAGGGTTTGCTCTAGCAGACAAAATTGTTATTCCAAAACATTTCTAACATGGCTGCAGTGAATTTTTTTCCAAAAAGGAGAAAGGTTATCAGTCAGAGGTCACTCTGACAGCGATGCCTTCATTCCTCCGCCCCCCGCCCCCCAGTTCATACTTTGCCCAGCTCAAGTCCCCCAAGGGAACCCGGAGAATGTGGCTTCTGTGCCCGGGACTGATGTCCGAGGGTCTTTCCTCCGTAAGGAGCGGGACTGGGAGTTTTAGCTCTCACCTGGGACAGGACCCGCTGACCTCTGCAGGCCAGAGCGTCCGAGGGCAGCTCAGCGCTGGGCTGAGCCCCAGGAGGCAGCCTGGGGTGCAGTGCTGGGGACGAAGGACAAGCGGATGCAGGGTGGATGTCTCCTTTTAGGGTTTAGAATAACAACAGGCTGAAAGGGGGCCCCACAACGTCCATGGCAAGGGAGAGACACGTGTTTGTCTCCTTCGCTCTGTGACACCCCCAATGTCGAGACTTGGCATAGAAGTTACTCGATAAACATTCTGTGGAATGAATGGGCGAGACGTTTGAGATGGACTGAAACCAGGGAGTATAAACTCAGTGTCTCTGGGTTCAGGCAGGCAGTCCAAGGGGGGGGCGCCTCGGGCAGAAGAGGAGGGTGGGTTGTGTGAATGGGCCGCCGCTGGCCCCTTGCTGTCGCCTCGTGGACAGGCACGTGCTGGACGCCGACCTGTACTATTTCATTAAGCTCAGTCGCAGTTACGTAAGCATTAGATGTGACACACGTGCCCCAGCGCCGGCTTCTTTCCCTCGTCCCTCGTTCTCACACTGCGACCTGCCCCTGCTCTGCCCCAGGAGTCCTGGCCCCTGTCCAAGGTGACCCGCTCTGGCCCCTCCTGCCCCTGCTCTGCCCCAGGAGTCCCGGCCCCTGTCCAAGGTGACCCGCTCTGGCCCCTCCTGCCCCTGCTCTGCCCCAGGAGTCCCGGCCCCTGTCCAAGGTGACCCGCTCTGGCCCCTCCTGCCCCTGCTCTGCCCCAGGAGTCCCGGCCCCTGTCCAAGGTGACCCGCTCTGGCCCCTCCCTCTGCTCCCCCACAGTTCCTGGGGCTCTGTCCTCCCGCCCTGCCCCCGCGGGCTCTCCCCGCCAGGCTTTCTCCCGTGTCCCACCTCTCTGGGTGGGGGCCTGTCCACCCCCGCCAGCTGCAGGGGACAGGCCAGTGAGCGCTACCGTCCGGGAGAGCTGAGACTTTGCAAGTGTTGCCGCCATCGGTCTCTTTACCGCGTGCTGTTCAGGTAGTTCAGAGACCCTGGCAAAGAGGACCCAGCCTGCGTGACAACCGGGCGCGTTTCCCTGCGCGTCAGAGGCACTTGTTAACTCTCACCAAATCCGAGAGGGTTATTCTCAAATGGCACTTAACATTCGCCAAGCAGTACTTAAAAAAGAATTTTTTTTTCTTTATTGATTTCAGAGAGAGAGGAAGGGAGAGGGAGAGAGAGAGAAGCATCCATGAGAGAACATCGAGTGGCCGCCTCCTGCACGCCCCCCACTGGGGATGGGCCCACAACCTGGGCATGTGCCCTGACCGGGAATCGAACCAGTGACCTCTTGGTGCAGGGTCAATGCTCAGCCCCTGAGCCACACCGGCCGGGCACAAAGCAATACTTTTATAACTTGAAAATGTCCCAAGCCTTTAGGACAATCTAAACGTCCTTGTCTTAATGTACGAAGACAAGACCCCTTCCCGTGAAAAAGGCACTGAGTGGGCAAGGCGAGGCACCCTCATTGCAGGAGCCGGGTGCCTTGTGGGAGGCGAACTCGAACACCCACGCGGGCGAGGGCGGGAGGCGGGACGGCCTGCGGCTCCGGGGTGAGGCTCCGGGGTGAGGCTCCGCGCCCGCTTCCCGCAGGAGAGCCCCTGAGCAGTGAGCACTTCCACCGGGCGGTGAGTGTGAACGACGAGGACCTGCTGCTGCAGATGCTTCAAGGAAGGTGAGAGGCCGCCCCTCCGCCCCTCCGCCCCTCCGGCCCCTCCGACCCCTCCGAGAGCACCCTGGTGCCGCGCGTGCCCGTGCCCTGACCCCAGCTCCACCACTGAGCCCAGGCGACGCCGGGAGCTCGGTAGTTAGTAAAGGTGTCGGCAAAGCCCCAAGTGAGCGTCCCGCTTGGTGACTGTCCAGTGGAAAAGGGGACGACAAGCCTGCTGTCATATTTTCTTCCCGGAAATAATTTCTGACTCTCGTTTCTAGGCCGCAGCCTTAGGCAAGCTTCACCCCAAAATGCCCACGTGTGGTCCCTGGGACCCCGAGGAATCGCCTTCCCGCTCAGCAGGCTGCTAAGGCACGGGAGGGGGCGGAGGGGCGGCCAGACGGGCGCTGCTGGCCCATCTCAGCAGCTGCCCCCTGAGTGAAGAGTGGGCGGCGTTATCCGGGCTCTTTATGTCCGGGTGCTGCTATAAATGTGACTGTGCCCCCAGCTTCCTTTTTTTTTATCCTCACCCGAGGACATTTTTCCATTTTTTTGTACAGATAGAGTGGGAGGGAGAGAGAGGGAGAGAGAGAGAGAGAGAAACATTGATGTGAAAGGGACACATCGAGTGGCTGCCACCCGCACGACCAACCAGGGCCGGGGACAAACTGCAACCGAAGTACATGCCCTTAGCGGGAAGCGAACCCGGGTCTCTCCGGACCGCAGGCCGACGCTCCAACCGCTGAGCCAAACCGGCCAGGGCTCCCAGCTTCCTTTTTAAATTGTTTTATTGCGTTTATTAAGGTGACCTTGGTTAATGCAATCACATAGGTTTCAGGTGCACGATTCAGTAACACATCACCTGTCTATTGCACCGTGTGCTCACCACGCGGAGCCCGGTCTCCCTCGGTCAGCATCCCCCCCCCCCCCCTTTTCTCCTCTCCTACCTGTCCCCATCCCCCTTCCCCTCTGGTGTCTGTGTCTAGGAGGTTGTTTCTTCTGTGCTCAGTCCCTTTGTCCCCCAGCCCCTCAGCTCCCCTTCACGCTAACAGCTGTCAGTCTGTTCTCTGTACCTGTGAGTCTGTTTCCATCTTGTGTGTGTGTCTCGTTCATGAGATTCTTCGTAGTGAGATCGTGTGGTACTTGTCTTTCTCCAACTGGCGTATTTCGCTCAGCATAATACTCTCCAGGTCCACCCAGGCTGCCGCAAAAGGTACGCGTTCCTCCTCCTCTCCGGCCGAGAGTTGTGGCTTCTCCTCGAACCAGCGGCCTTGGGCTCCTTCCGGGGCCGTGTGCTTGGGGGAGAGAAGGTCCCGCGGAGGCAAAGCGGCCAGGCTGGCCTGAAAGACTCCGCGTCCTCCCTCAGCAGCAGCCTTCGTGCCGGGGGCCGCGATGGGACCCAAGGGGCCAGTGTGGGGCCCGCCCTGAGAGGCTCTGTCCCCTGGAGCTGACCGTCTTCATGGAGCGCAGGTCCCCGCTCCTTGAAGGACCGTGCTCTCCTAAGGGTGTTTTAGCTCCAGCAATGCTTTCGAGTGCAAGGGAGTGTCTATTTGAAGGGAAATTACAGCAATTTTCTCTCCTGGTCTTGTGAATTTGAATCTCTTAAAATATGCAGCAGGGCTATCTCAGACAACAAAAAACTTAACGGCCCAGAAGAAATTGGGATTTTCGGTAAAAGGAACCCTTTGGGCCACCTGCCCTCAAGGGGGGCAGCGGCAGGTCTGCAGAGGGGCCCCTGCGCACACTAATCTCTTCTCGTCCCCCAGCGACGTGAAGGTGGATGTCCCCAACAAGCTCGGCTTCACGGCCCTGATGGTGGCTGCCCAGAAGGGATACACCAGGTGGGCCTCCTCCCTCCGACCGCCCAGGGGTCGGCGGGACCCCTCCCAAAGGCTGCAGTCAGGCCGGGCTGGGAAGAAAGAGGGTGATGGAGGAGCCCCACTTTCCCCTCTTTCCAAAACTGTACCCTACACAAAAACGGCCGTTTTTCTCACAAAGTTGTATACAATGCAGGAGAGATGCACTAATGTCCAATCATACGGGGAGGAAGAGGGGTCTCCGTTCAACCAGATGTACAATATATTTTACAGATCCTGAAAAAACTGGTTATTGGAATTTGAATTTCTTTTTTATTTTTTTTCCTCACCAAGGACATATTTTTGATATTTTGTTCAGATAGAGTGGGGAGGGAGAGAGAGAGAGAGAGAGAGAGAAACATCGATGTGAAAGGGACACATCGATTGGCTGCCACCCACACGACCCAAACAGGGCTGGGGACAAACTGCAACCGAGGTACATGCCCTTAGTGGGAGCCGAACCCGGGTCTCTCAGGACCGCAGGCCGACGCTCTAACCGCTGAGCCAAACTGGCCAGGGCGTGAATTTCTTTTTTAAAAGGGCGGGCGGGGGTGGGTGGGGGGGTGGGGGTGGGGGAGCCCTGGCCGGTTTGGCTCAGCAGTTAGACCAATGAGTCTCAGTTCAATTCCAGTCAAGGGCATGTACCTCGATTGCAGTTTGTCCCCAGCCCTGGTCAGGGTCATGCGAGAGGCAACCAGTAGGTGCGTCTCTCTCACATCAATGTTTCTGCCCCCCCCCATCTGAAGATAAATGAAATAATATCCTTATGTGAAGATTAAAAAAAAAAGGGTGGCGAGGGGGAGATATTAATTCTGGAAAACATACTTCCCCGATCGGTTGCTAAGATATACTTTGCAGCATACACTTCATTATCTCTCTTCCACAAGGATACAGACTTACATACTAATAACTTATTTTTCAACCATATTTATGTTTTAACTAAGATGCCATTTTGCAAAATAGAAATTTATTTTCACGAAGCGCTGCCCTTTGAACAGATATTTGAAACGGCCACGAGAGGACAGGGAGCCATCCCTTGAGGGTTCAGTGTGTTTACGTGGTGCAGTTCGCTTTCAAGGAAAAATCCATGACAGGGCAAAACCCCATGATTGTTGGTGTGGAGAGGTGTTTTCGGGGTGGAGAGTGCCCCGCTCTAACGCTGGCTGGCCCCGAGGATGGCTGAAAGCGCTGTGGGGGGGTGTCTGCAGGCCGTGTGGCGCATTCCTGCCGGACCATCGTGGGTCCCCCATCGAAGCCGCGTCTCCAGCTACGTTTCAATGTGTTTCCTTTAGGCTGGTGAAAATCCTCGTCTCTAACGGCACAGATGTGAACCTGAGGAACGGCAGTGGCAAGGACAGGTGGGTGCCTGGAAGATGCCCCAAGTGTCCCCAGGCTGTGTTACCAGGCTTTGCGCAGAGCGTGCTTGGGTTTAAGGCACAGGGGTGGTGCAGTGTCTTTGGCCAGTAGGAGAGGCGAAGCCCTACACCCCACGGGAAGGAGGGGGCAGCAGAACACCGGGGTGCGTTGTTCTCTGGCTCTGCACTCGTGGGGGTGGGGGCGTTTGCAGGGGGTGTGCTGTAGCGTGCGCCCCGTCCCGCCAGGCCCGTGCACGCCCAGTGCTGTGCACTGAGTCAGCGCGGTTCCTCCGGTTCCATGCTGGGGGTTGCACCCCCCGCGGCCCTGCACCCCCACGGGCCCTCACTGCGCTGCCCTTACTCTGTGAACCGAGTTGCTCTGTTCCCGAAGAAGCAGCGGAGGCCATTATAAGACGCCACCCGAGGTCTTCCCTGAGGCGAAAGGGCTGAGTGTCTTCCGGAAGTTGACCAAAAAGCATGCTCAGAGAGGTGAAAGAATATTTGAGAAGGACTTAAAGCAACCACTAATCTAGTCACTAGGTTTAATGACTTAATTTAAACAACCAATGTTGACTGGATGTCTGCCACGTGCCAGGCTCCGTGCTTGGCCCTTGGGGAGAAGGCTGGACCAAACGCGGAGCTCACTGTGGGGCTCAGAGACATCCCTCTATGTGCAGACCTGGGCCAGTCACATCCCATTAGTGCAGACCCAGCAGGTCATGTCCCACTATGTGCAGAACCACGAGGTCATGTCCCACTATGTGCAGAGCCACGAGGTCATGTCATGCCCCACTATGTGCAGAGCCACGAGGTCATGTCCCACTAGTGCAAACCCAGCAGGTCATGTCCCACTATGTGCAGAACCACGAGGTCATGTCCCACTATGTGCAGAGCCACGAGGTCATGTCATGCCCCACTATGTGCAGAGCCACGAGGTCATGTCATGTCCCGCTATGTGCAGAACCACGAGGTCATGTCATGCCCCACTATGTGCAGACCCAGCAGGTCATGTCCCACTAGTGCAAACCCAGCAGGTCACGTCCCACTATGTGCAGAGCCACGAGGTCACGTCCCGCTATGTGCAGAACCACGAGGTCATGTCCCACTAGTGCAAACCCAGCAGGTCATGTCTCACTATGTGCAGACCCAGCAGGTCATGTCCCACTATGTGCAGACCCAGCAGGTCATGTCCCACTATGTGCAGACCCAGCAGGTCATGTCTCACTAGTGCAGACCCAGCAGGTCATGTCCCACTATGTGCAGACCCAGCAGGTCATGTCCCGCTATGTGCAGAGCCACGAGGTCACGTCCCACTATGTGCAGAGCCACGAGGTCACGTCCCGCTATGTGCAGAGTCACGAGGCCACGTCCCGCTATGTGCAGAGCCACGAGGCCACGTCCCGCTATGTGCAGAGCCACGAGGTCATGTCCCGCTATGTGCAGAGCCACGAGGTCATGTCATGTCCCACTATGTGCAGAACCACGAGGTCATGTCCCACTATGTGCAGAACCACGAGGTCATGTCCCACTAGTGCAAACCCAGCAGGTCATGTCTCACTAGTGCAGACCCAGCAGGTCATGTCCCACTATGTGCAGAGCCATGAGGTCATGTCCCACTATGTGCAGAGCCACGAGGTCACGTCCCGCTATGTGCAGAGTCACGAGGCCACGTCCTGCTATGTGCAGAGCCACGAGGCCACGTCCCGCTATATGCAGAGCCAGGCCTGTGCCTGCAGACCAGCATCTCTGCGAAGCTGCGGGCGCCGATGGGAAGTTGAGCCATGAGCAAACATCGACTGCTCAAGTCAGCAGCATCCTCACTGCATCCCCTGACACGAGGCAGAAATGTTTCAAATAATAACATTTTAAAAATCACTTGTAAATGTAAACATTTGTGTTCCACATAGTTCTTAGGTAATTTTGGAACTAAGCCATCAACTCAAGAAGTTTGAGAAAGAATACTACCAATTTAAAAAGGAAAATGAGAAGAGAATCAAGTTGAGAAGTAGGAAAAGGAAAGAATTAAAATAAAAGTAGGAATCGACTAATTAGAAAATAAAGACCAAGACCCGTAGGTGTGACCTCTTGAATAAAAACCTCTATGATGAAATGGACCATTTCTTGTAAATCTAAGAAGAGAGGAAACAACTAGAAAATTGAAAGGGTTCAGAACGGTGGTTATGGAGGAAATTTAAACAGGATAAGAGAAGGGTACATTTGCATTTAAATAGGAGATTTGATCATTTCATTGAAATGGGTCCTTTTTCTGAGAAAATTTAAACCATCAAAATCAACCCCCCAAAAGCAGAAAATCGGAAATAACCGATACGCCTACAAAAAAGTTAGAAAAGGTACGAAAGGGTTTCCTCCTACACAGGCTCCAGGGCGACTGTCCTACTCATGAGCTTGCTCAGTGTTCTAGGTACCGGTCATGACCTTCAACTTCCCAAGCCACAGAGGATAACCTGGCTGCTAACATCTGTAGTGAGATGTGTGTGTGTGTCTGTATGTGTGAAGACATTTGTGTGTCTCTTCCTCCAGCAACTGAGAGGGTATCTGCAGGGTAAAGAAGACTGGTGGATTTTCTTTTAATAGTTTGTTCATTTAAAAAACTTTTTTCTTTATTGATTTCAGAGAGAGGAAGGGAGAGGGAGAGAGAGAGAAACATCGATGAGAGAGAACATCGATTGGCCGCCTCCTGCACGCCCCCCACTGGGGGTCGGGCCCACAACCTGGGCATGTGCCCTGACCGGGAATCGAACTGGTGACTGCTTGGTGCACGGGTCGGTGCTCAACCAGTGAGCCACACCATCCGGGCCTGGTAGATCTTTTAAAATCGAGCATTTTACTCAATTGTAGTGATTATTTTTTTTATTGACATATAATTTATATACCACAATATTCTCTCCTTTAAAACATGACGTTCAGCATTCAAAACATACATTGACAAAGCTGTGCAACCACCAGTACGGTGTCATCCCAGGAAAGGACTTCACCCCCCTGGAAGGTAGCCCCGCGCCCATCAGCAGCCACGCCCATTCCCTCTGCCCCGGCCCGAGGCAGCACAGCCGGCTCTCGGTCCCTGGAGAGCTGCCTGCTCCGGACATTTCAGCGACGGGGCCGGGCCAAAGCAGGAGGCAGCTGTGGGGCGGAGGAGGACACGACGATGACGGAAACGCTTGCGAACCGTTTCTGTGCTCACAGCTGCACACCTACCCGTCTCCCTCCCCCGCCCCGTACATGGGGTCGTATACTATGTGTACTTTGTGGCTGGCTTCTTTCATTTAGCATCGTGTTTTAGGGTTCACCCACCTTGTAGCATACTTTAACCCTCCCCCTTTTTATAATCCCCATCCGAGGACACTCTTTCATTGATTTTCAGGTAGAGCGGGAGGGACGGAGGGAGGGAAGGAAAGAGAGAGAAACATCGATGTGAGAGAGACACACTGATTGGTTGCCTCCCGCACAACCCCGACCAGGGCTGTGACCCAACCGCAACCGAGGTACGGGCCCTTGACTGGAATCGAACCCACGACCCTTTGGTCCACAGGCCGACGCTCTAACTGCTGAGCCAAACTAGCCAGGGCTTTAATCCTTTTTAATGGCCAAATAATATTCCACTGTATGGGCAGACCACCTCCTGTTTACCCGTTCAGCAGCTGATGACACACATACAGTCTAGACGAGTAGTTCTCACGGCTCTTCCACGGAAATGGGGCTTGTATGGGGGCCCGAGCTCAGCACTGCACCCAGCCAGGTGCTTCTCCTTCCGTGTGTTGCAGTCTGATGCTGGCCTGTTACGCCGGCCACCTGGACGTCGTGAAGTACCTTCGAAGGCACGGCGCTTCTTGGAAGACCAGAGACCTGGGGGGCTGCACGGCCCTGCACTGGGCAGCGGACGGGGGCCACTGCGGCGTGGTGGAGTGGATGCTTCAGGACGGCTGTGAGGTATGGTCCCCAGGGCCTGGAGAGGGACTGGGGACAGGCCGAGTGCCCTGCCGCAGGTCCCGGGACCCGTTGGTGGGGAGTTCTCGACTTACCAGCAAGGACATCGGTGTAGACCTGATGCGGCAGGGAGGCTTCCGGCAGCCGCGGAGGCTCCTCTCGCGTGGGGAGGAGAACCAGTGCCCAGGACGGGGTGCCCTCGTCTTCCTCTTGGCTCAGTCTGTCACGGAGCTTCCCCGAGCATCCACCAGAAACATCTCAGGGGCCGGAGCACAGAGTCGCTGGGAACCCGCCCAGCCGGCCTGACTCGTTGCTCTTAGAATCAGATTGTTTTTGTTCGCGGTGTGCTTTAAAGACAAGTCATCACACAGAACGTCCCGAGGGTGGGCTGACTGTCCAGCACAGACGGTCTCAGCGCTCGGAGCCTTTGCCCGAGGTGGGCTCGTCCGCTGCCTCTGGGTTCGTGTCGCTGGGAGCACACATTCGGCTTCGCACACGGACGCGGAGCTGGGATGCTGGAGGTGGGGACGGGGATGAGCTCGGGGTGGTGACTGCTGGCAGTGTGACAGCCTTAGTTCCTGACTCTCAAAGACGTTAAGTAAAAACGTCACGGTACGGAGCTAAGGAAGGACGAACATGCCGGCTCCATTGTGACCGCAGGTGGTTAGAGTGCAGGGAAGGTGACCCGGCGGCGGAAGGCAAGAAGACTCCCGTCTCCCGGCTGCCGTTAGAGCTGTTCCGGTTTGTCTCCGAAGTGTGGCCGAGGGCCAGCGAGGCTGCCGCGGGCCCCCACGATCCCCGCTGCCCCTCTCGGAGGGCTGAGAAAAGGGGCCCCGGAAGGAGAAGTCTCAGTGATTGAGATCGTCCCTCCTCATCGCACGTCTCCTTTGCTTTGTGGTTGAAACATGCGGGAAAGGGCAGCAGGGTCAGCTTGGGCCTGGGGGTGGGGCGGGGCCTCCGCCGCCTGGTGCGGCAGCGACAGGCACGCGGTCCCCGAGCTCAGCCCTGCTTCAGTCCCCAGGAACGGTCTGCAGGTGAAAACGAAGGTCGGCCTTGGCTAAAAGAAGGGCAGGTGTCGGCCAGGAACGTTTAAATACGGGAACTTAGCAAGTGCGGGCTCCCTGGGCTTCAGCCGTGAGCACTCGTCTTTGGGGTCGATTCCCTGCTTTTTGTAGCACTGGAGGCGCGTGGATTTGTCCGCTGCAGGTTCTGTGTCCTTGGCAGATGGTCCATGGACGCCTTGGAAGACCGTGGAGAGACCCGAGCTCACGGGTGTCCCTGCCACCCTCTTCCTGAGCGTAGCGATTTTATACTGAGAGTCACCGACCTGCACGGGGAAATACTTCCGCGCTGTCTGAGCCGGGAGACCTCAGGAAAGGCATCTGAGACCTCGGACACTTGCTTTCATCGTTTGTAAACCGGGAACAAAAAGACCCACCCTTGACCCTCAGGACTGAAGGACGTGGGTGTGAGCGTGCACTGAAAACTGTGAAGCGCCGTGTAGACGAGGTGATGATTGGATGATCATTTAGCAAACCCCAAAGATGCCGCGGCAGAAAATGCGCTGTATACAAATAACCTGCGAAGTCCCCAGGACCCCCTGGGGGTTCCCTTCTGGGGCTGCACTAAAGCTGCAGGTGTCCCTGAGTAATTCCGTGACGGAACTGGGTGTGTGTGTGTGTTTCTGCCCGTGCACACGTGCGTATACTCAGGGCCACTCTCCATGGATTGATGAGGACTTCCTTGGAGTTAGAGAGGCAGCATTCACGTTTTCTCACTCAGAAATGTGTCTTTTAAAACACGAAACCGAGCGATCTAGTGCAGAGCAGAAAGTTGAGGAGCGTCCATGTCATGATGGACGAGGCAAAACGGCGTTTGGAAGTGTTAGGTTGGCTAACTTTTCACATTAGAATCTGTGTAGCAGGTGTGGTTACTTTGTATCGACTCTGCCTGTGTTTCTCCTGCTTAACGTGAACACACATCGATGTGTTTGAGGGTCTGCGTGCCCATTACCACCTTGTTCCAGGAAGCAGTTAGAGCCACTAACAGACATTCAAAAGCAAACAAGACACACTGCATAAAACCAGACGAGGAAAGGTGGGCACGTCCCAGGGAGCCAAGAGTCAGGTGATTATGTTTGGTTCCTTTTTCTTTTTTTCTTTATTGATTTTTTTTTTTTTATCTTCAACCGAGGACATTTTCCCATTTTTTGTTCAGATAGAGTGGGGGAGGGAGAGAGGAAGAGAGAGAGAGACATCGACGTGAAAGGGACACATTGAGTGGCTGCCACCCGCATGACCCAACCAGGGCCGGGGACAAACTGCAACCGAAGTACGTGCCCTTAGCAGGAACCGAACCTGGGTCTCTCTGGACCGCAGGCCGATGCTCTAACCGCTGAGCCAAAATGGCCAGGGTTCTTTATTGATTTTTTTAGAGAGAGAGAAAGGGAGAGGGAGAGAGAGAGAGAGAAACATCGATGAGAGAGAACATCGATTGGCTGCCTCCTGCAGCCCCCCACTGGGGATCAGGTCCACAACCTGGGCATGGGCCCTGACCGGGAATTGAACCGGTGACCTCTTGGTGCATGGGTCAGTGCTCAACCCCTGAGCCACACGAGCCAGGCTGGTTCATTTTTCTATCCCATCTTTTTTCCCCGTGAACAAATGTGGATGAAGATCCTGGTGGGGCCTCCGGGGGACCTCAGCACCCTCTAACGGGACCTCACTGCAAATCAGTGTGATTCCAATTCGCACAGTCCACTCAACCCTTACTAAGTCTAGAAAGACTGCTGTCTAAATTTGGGGAATTTGGACAAATATTCTTTACAAGTTCCCGATGAACACTTTTAAGGAGAAGAAACTGGACTAAGCGCGCTCGCTGTGGTCTCCCAGGTAGACGTCATGGACGCTGGCTCAGGCTGGACCCCACTCATGAGAGTGTCCGCGGTCTCGGGGAACCAGAGGGTGGCCTCTCTGCTCATCGAAGGCGGAGCCAACGTGAACGTGAAAGACAAAGATGGAAAGACGCCCCTCATGGTAGGTTCCCTCCCGAGGCAGCCTGGCTTCCACGGGGCCGCCATGGCCAGGGTGCTCCGGGCGTCTGGGCCCTGGCGTGGCTGGTGTGTGGCCCCGAACAGCCTGTTAACAAAGCACGGCAGTGTCCCCATCACACTTCTGTTGTTTTATCCACAACTATATCTTTAAAAAACATTTTTTTTTCTTTTTATTGATTTTTAGAGAGAGAGGGAGAGAGAGGGAGAGAGAGATAGAAACACTGATGAGAGAACATCGATCGGCTGCCTCCTGCATGCCCCCCACTGGGGATCAGGCCCACAACCTGGGCATGTGCCCTGCCCGGGAATTGAACCTGCGACCTCTTGGTGCAGGGGTCAGACTGCACAACTGTTTCTTTAAGAATGACCCTCCCCGTCCCCAAGGCCACTGTAGGACCCAAACAGGGCCGCTGACGCAAAGAAGGTGCTGCTGGCTGCACCACTCTGGCCCGCGTGTCCACGTCCCTGCAGTCGGGGAGAGGCGGGCCCGTGTCCGTGTCCCACGCAGTTGTCATGGCTGCAGTGGTACAGCACACACGCCTGCCCGGCACAGCCGGGACGGTGCCACCTTTGGCGATGTGGTGGCTCTCCCGGCCCACTGGTGCAGGACCCCTCGCGGTGAGCGGGAAGCGCCCCCTGAGCCCGGCTCCCCGCTTCCGTCGCCCAGGTGGCCGTGTTAAATAACCACGAAGAGCTGGTCCAGCTGCTCCTGGACAGAGGGGCGGATGCAAGTGTGAAGAACGAGGTAGGACGACTCGCTCCCTCGCCAGGCTCTGCCCGGGGACGGGAACGGACCCACGGTCACCGTCGTCTTTGCTTCCCCCCCCAGTTCGGCAAAGGCGTCCTGGACATGGCCCGGGTGTTCGACAGGCAGGTGGGCTGCTTCCCCGTGTCCCTCCAGGCGCCCGGAGCACCAGAAGCAACAGCCCAGCCCGGTGACATGCCCCGTTCTCCTTCATGTAGAGCGTGGTCTCCTTACTGGAAGAGAGGAGAAAGAAGCAGATGCCGAAGAACCCCGCCGTCCCTTCGGTCCGCTGACCCGGCCCCCTGCTCTCCAAACGCAGGTGCAGGAAGAACGTGACGGCCGAACCAGAGATTCGGCGTCTCGGAGGGCTATACGTCAGAGTGTTTATTTAGCTGAAGATTCACAGTGACTTTTGTATCATGCTACTGTCCCCACTTTGAAATACACCTTTACCTGAGCACTGAGACCGGTGTGGTCACTGGGCGTCTGCAACGCAGGGGTGTCTGCTCACACTGTGCCTTTTGGACGCAGACACGAAACAAAGATTTACGTGCGGGAGCTGCCCGAACATGCGTGGGTCTCCCCCGCCCCGCCCCCCACGCTGTCCTCTGAGCCTTGCCGGGACCTTGTGGAAATCCTTCCCCTTGTGTGGTTTCAGTGGTGGCGCCCCCTCCCGACACCCGGCCTCCAGGGGGTGCTGTCACGCTGGGGTTCCTGCCCGGAGCACCGCACCCCCCAAATGCCTGGCAGGCCGTGGGCGCTGCCCCCTTGGAGGGGTCCAGGGGCGCTCGGCCGTCCCCCAGCAGGCCTGTCTGAGGCCGTGCTCGCATCCGTAGGTCTCGGCGACGGAAGCCCGGCTGCCGGCGTGGCCCCGCTCTGCCTGGGAGAAGTGTGTTCACTCCATTTAGCCCCCGAACAGGAGCGTCTGTGGTGCCGCTCACGCGGTTCAGAGCCAAGTAGGAGTGAGCTGCAGCGAGCTGGTCACAGCGTGGGTGCTGGTCACAGCGGGGGCGCTGGTCACAGCGTGGGCGCTGGTCACAGCGGGGGCGCTGGTCACAGCGGGGGCGCTGGTCACAGCGTGGGTGCTGGTCACAGTGTGGGTGCTGGTCACAGCGGGGGTGCTGGTCACAGTGTGGGTGGACCTGAACGCACAGACACACTTAGAGACCAGCCACGTGAGCTAGCAGTGCGTTTCGTGTCTCCAGAGACAAGCCGATCCCTTGGGCCCATGAGCAAACCAGCAGCAGAGGTCGGCACAGGGGTGCAGTTTTCTCTGCAAGGGAAGACGGGTGGCGGGTAATGACAGCAGCGAGGCGTGGGGGCAGGGCACAGAGGGAAAGCACCCCGTGTTACCGGTGTTGACGATTCCCAGCTTTCTTCATGCAGTTAACAGAGCGCCCAGCTTAGGAACTAGAATTGTGGATCATATATTGTCCTCTCCTTAGATATTTCTCCTTAGATATCCCGTAGTGATTTTTTTTTTATCCTTACCCAAGGACATTTTTGCATTTATCTTCAGATAGAGCGGGAGGGAGAGAGGAAGAGAGAGAGAGAGAGAGAGAGAAACATCGACATGAGAGGGACACATCTACTGGCTGCTACCCACACAACCCCAACGGGGGCCGGGGACAAACGGCAACTGAGGCACGTGCCCTTAGCGGGAACCGAACCTGGGTTTCTCTGGACCACAGGCCGATGCTCTAATCGCTGAGCCAAACCGGCCAGGGCACTAGATTAGATTTTTAAAACCTCTCTGAAAATCAGAGCATAGCCACAACTTTCCAAGGCCCCCTTCCGCCCATGATCACTGTTGACTTGCACCTTAATTTCTCAGGCTCTTGTAGATCTTCCTCACCAGCCCCCTCTGTGGGGAGAGGGTGCGCCCCATCCCTTCTCGTTGACAAAGTGTGGCGACATCATCCCATCCTCCTGACCAAAGCCTTGGCCAGAGAATGGGGCTGACTTGGGTCAGTGACGTGAATAGGAAGGGCTCCTGCCCCTCTGAGCAGAATTTCTACGACTCCCCACGTGTCCCTTCCCTCGGCCACGAGACCAGCCGTGTCTCACACGGAGGCCACTGCAGGGCCCAGGGCCCCGAAGATCTGAAGCTCACCCAGGGTGGACGTGACCTGTGAGTGAGAAATTACCCTTTCGTGCTGCGAGTCGCTGAAACTTAACAGTGGTTGGTTACCGCAGGCTCACTTAGCCGAAAACGACTGCTCATAAGATCCAATCGATGTTTGTGAATTTCATTTTCCACAGAGTCCTACGGCGTCCAGCCTTCTGTTATTCAGAGCTTCAGACACTCGGGAATGGATATTGAATGTTACCAAATGTGTTTTCAGCCTCTCTGGTAACCTAAACATGGCACAGTTCCCTACAGTCTGTCACTTCAGTGGCCTGGGTTGTTAGATTTTAGATATTGAACCGTCCTTGCATTGCTGAGTCTGGGTGCTGAAGTCCATCTGCTCACAGGCTTTTTAGCTTTCTCCCCTCAATGAGATTAGATGGTAGTTTATCTTGTGTTTCCATTTTCCCAAAGCAGCCTCCATGGTTTTATTAGTTATACTTTTTTCCAATTAATTTATACTTCTTATTTCTACAAGTTCATGCCCTCTATTTCACCTCAGGTTTGTATTTTTGTTTCTTTTGTAACTTTTTAGGATGGACATCTATCTTTTTTTGTTTACTAACTTGTGAATTTAGGGTTATGACTTTCCTCCTCAGCACTGGGTTACTTCTATTGCCATAGGGGGTTTCCTGACCTTTCCTGATGGAGAGATTTCACTTGGGTCCTTTCAAAATACACATCTCGGGTGCATCTGAGGCCCTCCGCGCTGACCGGGGGAAGGACCGCGCAGCGGGTTTTACGACACCCCCGCCATGAGGTCTCACGGCTCCTGGAGTGTGAGGAAACCACAGAGCCTGCCGTTTCAAACGGTCTCGCCTGATATCGTCCAGATCATCTACAGTTTGTCTTCGATTTGTTGCATTTCTAGGGCAGGTGGTTGTTTTTCTACTTTTAGTGCATTATAATCTTGAGAATTTGTCTGTAGTATTAGGAATTTGAGTTTACTTTGTGGCTTACTATAAAAATTATATATATATGTTCTTTCCCCCCAAGAGGCCCTTTGAAAGAAAGCACAGTATTTTGTATCTTTGAAGTATTCCATTTAATATATCAATTTGATCTACAGTAGCCATTCTGAGGTCTTCTGTACAGTTATTTTTTTGCTTGGTTGCATTGTCATGGGTGGAGGGTGGTAAGACTATAAAGACCTTGCTACCCTTCTGTATATCTATTTTCCTTTGTATTTGCTTCAATTCTATATGAAGTTAGATACTATTTTTTTTTAATTGTAAATAAATTTCTATTACGCTTTGATTTTCCTTCTGGAAAAGTCTCATGTAAATGTTTCTATTTCTGCTTGCTTGCTTTTTGAGTTTAATCTCTTCTGTAAATAGGATGAGTTATAAAAAATTTATTTTCATAGGTTATAAAGTCACATTGTTCAAAAAAAGGGATCAGGTTCCCAGGCCCCCAAGTGTGTGGGGAAAAAGCATCTTCGGTCTTGTCCTGTTATCCGACCCGTTCACATGGAGTGCAGCTCACCTCCGACCCCAGCACACCCTCCTTAGCCCCTTATTCATGTGCTGTTCCCAGATGGCCTTACGTATCTATCACTGAGTGAGGACACAGATACATTGTTCCACACGAGGGCTCCCCCTCCTCATTTCGGTAACCTTCTCAGTAATGCATGACACACATCTTTATATTTATCTGTATACTGTTTATTGGATATAATATTCTTAACAATGACTTTTTCTATGGAAATAGCATGTTGTGTTACCTGCAGAACCCCAACGTGAGCCATGTGTACAAAGTAATGGATGGTAACATCAAAAGGTACGTGAGAACAAAGTCAGCAAACCAAAGCGTTATACACGGACGAAGCGCTATAAAATGCATGTACTGGTTGAGTAGCTCGGACCCTGCACTGTGCTGCGTAGCCTGTAGCCAAGTTTTAAAGAGTCACGTGGTTACATGGCCACACACACTCAACACTTCCCTCAGCCCCCCGGTGACCCGGCAGAGGGGGTGCGGGGGCCTCAGCCCGCCCCTCGGTGCCTGCCTTGGGCACTTAGAGGATCGTGTTTCCTGATTTGATACATTTTTCAGTCGCGGTCAGTTCCCGCTGACGGGCAGTGAAGGCAGGCGTCCTTGCACTTTTCCGTAAAGCTGCAGCAATCACAAGATATTTATTCTCTTGTCCGGATTTAGAATGTGCTCGATTTGAGGACCACACATGTGTTGTGTGGAGGCAGAATGACGGAGGCGGCGGGATGTGTGTTTTGAAGACGATGTGGAAAACCAGGTGCGTTCGACCCAGAAGACGGAGTCACAGTGAGGACTTGGATGGCGAGTCCCATCTCCTGCCTGTCACCATCCGTCACTGAACATTATATTGATTTACACGCAGTGTTTCTTCTGGTTTTTCTCACAGAAACAGGACCTTAGTGGGGGGACTGTAAGCTGCCAGCACCGTCCCCAAGTAAAGAGGGGTGTTCTTCCCGAAAGGCGGGTGTGGGGAGTGGCCCCTGGGCACACCCTCCCTGCTCGGAAGGGTCTCGGCCTCTCAGAGTTCTCAGTGTGTCACTGGTAGAGTTTTCAACCAGGATGAAAGGAACAGATGCCAGGGCCTGGCGGGTGGGGGGAGTCTGCCGTCCCGGGCACACTGGTCACCAGGGCCGCTGCCCCTATCAGGACTCTGTAGGCAGAGGTCCCTGCAGGGCGATGGGCCTGTGGGGGCACTCTGCTGGGGTAGCTGACCGGGCAACTCCGTGCCACAGCCCTGGAGAAGGCTGGGCTCTGGGTGTCCGGTGGGTGGCCTTGTGGGGACAGCCACTCGCTCAGCGGGCACCCCTTTGGCCTAAAGTGGCTACGAACACGGAGGTTGCCGGTTGGTCAGACACCAGCAGAGGGCTTGGTCTGAGAAAGGAGATTGTGTCAGGGTGACAGGGAGAGGTGTCCAGATGTGTTTAGGGGCTTGCTCATGCGCCACGGGGAGTAGCTGGCAGCCCAGGGCCGGCCTCTGTGCAACGGGAAGGAGAAAGGTCGGTACCTGCCACGTGTCCCACCAGCCAGCCTGAGAGTCACACCTGGGTGTCTGCACCGGCACTGGGAGACTTCTGGGGCGGGGGGCCGTGTAATGTTTTTCTGGGTCACTTGTGTGTGGCTGGGGTGATTTTCACAGCGGTGAGAACAGATCTCCTAAGTCAGCCCCGGGCTCCCCGCTCTCAGAGCACCCAGGGGAGCCCTCCACAGCCGGAGTGTGCGATGGACTAGCCCGCAGAGGGTGAGGCTGCAGGAGGAAGCTCCCGCCCAGCGGCCAGGCCGCATGGGCTCCGGGTGCTCAGGAAGCCGCGGGTGAGCCCCAGGGGCATCCTAGCTGGCCCCGCCCCGGGCTCTAGCACCATGGAGATCGGAGCTCCTGAGGACAGCGAGACAGATCGGGGTGCGAGCTGTGCTTCTCGGGGACAGTGATGTGTGGCGCTGACCTGCCAGAGAACAATGGCCCTGCTTTCAACCTGAGAACCCCTCATAAAGTCCAGAAGGCATAAAAATGTCCCCTCGGAGACTAGTCGGGAGTACTTATTCTCATGTAGTTTAATTTGTTGCTTTTGTGGTTTCTGTGATGTCACCCCACATGTGTAAGCTGGAAAAATCCACCCTGGGAAGTGTACGTCCCGCACACGTACTTTGACAATGGAAAATGTTATGCATTGTTTCTCTCGGTTGCTACACATGTGTCAGGAAAACAAACTGTTACAAAAATATTGCAGGAGATAAACTTTTCAATAGAAGGCCTGGAAGGGTAGCTGGTTACTCGCCAGTCAAGTGGGGGTCACAGAACCTACAGCTGTGAGACGAAGGAAGATGGGGGTGACCCTCGGGGCTCCTTCCTGTCTAGGCACGTCGGCTTTTCTCAGTGCCTCTAAAACTTCACACAATATGAAAAATAGGCTGCCATTGAAATATAAGTATTGATTTTTGTTTCCATCATCTATGAGGATATAAAAAGAGGGAGGAATAGCACCCCCCCACCCAAAGAAAACCCCTGGCTGCTGGTTCCTTTCCCGTGTTGTATTAAAGCGAGAGTTATTGCTAAATACGCTTTAGTGCATAAATACTGCATCTTGGAAGTATGGCTCCTTTAATAATATCATCTGTGTATAGCAAGGGGATATTAGGTTTCACTGTGTTCTTACCAGAGATAAGCTGCATGACTCCAGAAAAGTGATTAGCGTGGAGAGAGAAGAACACGTCATCGGCTGTGGCCTGTCAGTGGTCACCGATGACTTGGTGTGAGATCACAGCGTTAACCTCTTTTCCTGTCAAAGCACCCCTGGTTCTCTGAAGTAGCACAGGAATCACAGCAAAGGACACACACACACAAAGTTCACACCCTCGGCCTCCCTCAGGAGGAGGGGCCCGGGCGCCCCAGCCACGGGTCTGGGCGTCTACAGAGACAACACCCCCATAATGCACCATGAAAATTCTGTAAACTTCTCAATAGCATGGTTTTGGCCTCAATACAGTTACGAATTCATAGCAGTTACAGCGATTCTGTGTGTGCTCATCAGCAGTCATGTTTTCTAACACGGCTTTACATCTTTAAGATGTTAATATTGTATCACAAACATACATGCTAGGGAGCTGGAACGTAGGGGAGCCAGAGCCCCTTGGGTGTGTGTTCGTGACGTGGACTTGCCACCCACGACCATGACGACGAGGTTGCCTAGATACGGCGGGGAACTCGGGGAGCGTTAACTGCAGTCCCGTTTCCTGGCAGGAAAACCAGGATTCTTGGTTTGTGTCATCTTTCCGCTTCAAGGCACTGAAAAGCATTGTGAGGACCCCAGGTGAAGTCTTGACCGTAAAACAGGGTGAATTACAAAACCGCTGTCAATTGCCTTCCGGTGTAGAAGCTAGTCACAGGGGACCCTACTGGAAGACAAGCCTACTGGCGTTTTCTCTTGTCTGAGTGTCGTATAATTTCCATGCCACTGGACACAGGCGTCTTCAAGATCTCCGTGTGAAAACGGCCCCAGTCAGACAGCTGAGGAGTAAGAGGTTGAACAGGCTGCTGCCCAGGACTGCAGCTCATGAATATTCAGGACCAAGAAACTAATTTCCCTATCACATCCCATCATGCTCAACAGGTACCTTGCATGTGATTAACAGATTCGGTCTTGCTGCTCAGAACATCTTTTAAAAACTCCTGCAGCCAAGCTGGGACAATAGGATGCCCCCCAAACAACTTTCTAGTAACTGATGGTTCTTTGTCTAATAGATGCTAATAAGGGAACCAGATGCTGCCGATAACCAGTGGACGCAGCATCGTGTTTGGCTGTGGTTTGCGCAAGTGTATGGCTCCTGCCTGATGTTTGATAAGCTGAACCTCGCACTAATGGGATGCTTTTATCTACAACACGGAGTCACTAGATCTGGCTGCTGGTGCACCTCTGAAAATAGTGATGGTCCCCCGGAAAGTCTCGTCTGTCTGTCTGAACGCAGAATCGCTATATCCCAGTGGAGAAGACGAGGTGGGGATTCGCTTACCTCCAAACAGTGCGGGGAGACAGGGGTGCGGTGCCTGGGCAGAGCCTCCTTGTAGAAACACCGCCTTCCCCCTACCTCTGGTGCCCATGGCAGCACCCCAACAAGGGCAGCCAGGGAAAGGAGTTCTGGTGTTCCTATAAAGAAGCTTTCATGCCCACTCTCCAAATCCACTCGTGGCCGGTGCGCTCAAGGCCAAGTCTCTGCCTGGCCTGGGGTTCCAGGCTGTGTCCTGGTGGGGCTGCACCTTAAAATTCCTTCCTGAGACGCAGATCCTCTCAGAGCTTCCGGACCAGAAGCCCCGCCCTGCTGTCCCGGAGCTTTAAGGCGCAGCCCCCGCTGGGCCGGCCGCTCAGTGGCGACAGGGCCCGGGGCCACCCTGCAAGCCACGCACAGCCTGGACCGGCTCTGGCCTGAGATGACAGGTTCCAGAAATTCACGCGAGTCTGCACCGGGGCGCTCTGGGCTGTGACAGGTGCCGTGACCACAGCCCGCTAGCTGGGGAACTGCGCTCCGATAAAGCCTCGGTCGGGAAGTCCACATCCTGTCCAGAACCCCACGAAGCAGGACGGTTCAAGTTCACTAAGCTATTCCAAGCACAAGAAGCCTTCCTTCCACGGAAGACTCAGTGGTGGCGAGACGCCCACTACCGCGCACCGCACGGTAGCAGGCGTTCCGCATAAATTAATAACTTACACGTAAGTACCTGAGCGAGTGCACCCCAGCCCAGCACAGCCCCGGCGGCAGGAGCCATGTCCTTAAAGTAACGCGGTTTCGGCATTAACGTTCTAAGAGTTGGTACAAAGTGTAACTCCACCTGGAGTCGAAAGATAGTGCAAACTTCTGTCTTCACTGTCGGCTCGCTTCTCATTTAGTGTAGGCGGTGTGGGCGGGTCTGGGCACGTGGTGTGGGCGCTGGGGAGCCGGTCTGCACCGAGAGAGGAGGAACAACGGAGTTAGAGAGAAGCCTGGAAAGCAGTCTGGGGTGCAGGTCTCTTCCCGAGCTCTGATTCGAATCCAGGATCCTATCTCAGCCCTTCTCACTGGGGGACCCCTCTGGGTTTCGGGGGGCTTTCAGCGGTCGGAGACTCCTGACCCCCAGAAGAGGGCTCTCCAAAGCTGTACCTCCCACCCACAAGGGGGCTCTCTAGAGGGGCCTGATGTGGGTGAGCCCTATGTGTCATCGAACATTTCTCTAGTAGCCATGTAAAAAAAGAAAGAAATTGATGAAACTTTAGAAATAAATTTCATTTAACCCAGTCCATCCTGAGCAGCAGTATTTCAACAAAAGACATTCTTGAGACAGTTGACATTTTGGGGTACTTAGCCTTCAAAGGCCAGAGCGGCCCTACACTTTACCAGCCAGTGTGTGCCTGCCGGGGAGCGAGCGGGCATGGGGGACCCCCCAGCAGTGAACCGCAGAGCACCCTTCTCCTTCCCGCTCAGGACCACCCCGCTAGCACCGTGACAGCCCCCGCTGGGGCCTCCCCTTGTCATGTCTGTGCAAAGTAGTGCTTTTCCCCTCGCAGAAGCAAAGTAGCTTCCGGACCAGCAAGCCCACAAACCGCGCCGAAACCCTCTGGACGCTCAGGTCTCCTGCATTTACGGCCTCGGGAACGAGACCGCTGTCCTGACCCGTGACCGCTTTCTCCGAGATTTACTGGCCAGTCAGCTTCCAGAGCCCAGGCCTTTCCCCAAAGCGACAGTGAAGTCACTAACAGGTGGCCCCTTCACAGACTGAATTATTGAGCCCAGGGCCTGGCCAGCACGCTACCTACGGCTCTTCTGAGCTCATAAAGCGAGCTTCCTGCCGGGGGGCAGGCGGGACAGGGGAGAGTCTAGCCCGGCTCTGTGCTGGGCGGGGTGGGGCTGATCTGTAGCATTTGCACTTCCACAGGCGAAACCCAGGCTACCAACGTGTCGGGCCCGGACGCAGAAGAGCTGGGCGGTGGCCACCACGCAGAAGTAATGGGCAGGTCGCCACAAGAACACAGGTGACAGTGAGGAGTGGAGGTGACAGTGAGGAGTGGCGAAAAATGGCGGGAGGGTGCGCTGCGCTTTATTACATCGACTTTTAAATATAACTTATATCATTGTAAGGATGTAATTTAACTGTAAGAGTGGCTGGCTTTAACACCTAGCTTGCCAAACGCGTGGAAATTTAACACTCTGGAAACCGGCGCGCTGGCCCCGGCGCCCACTGGGCTGTCTGCCCTGCGTCAGCCCGCAATCAGGCGGGGCGTCCGTCCTGCGTGTCGGTGGGGGGGTGACCGCAGCTGCAGGAAGTGACTCCCTTTGCCTGCTGTCCCGAAAGCTCCCACCTAGTCCAGCTGTCGTCCTGCCGAAGCGGCGTGAACCTAAGTATCTCCCCGTTTACCTGCCCCCCACCCCGGCACCCTTCTCAGGACCGCAGGGTGGGCAGAGCCTTCGGGGACTGGGATTTGGGGGAGGAATGTGTTCAGCCTTCACAATACCACGCCACTAAGTGACTTTTCTTCGTTGTCTCTTGGGAGGACATGGCCTGGCCCGTCGCAACAGCCAGCTTTCTGGGGCACACTATCCTGCTCTCCTGGATAACTGGGGCCACCGCTAAGAGCGACACGGTCACACCTGTGATGATGAGCGCACGGCGCCCTCCTGGCGACTCTCCTAGCTGCCCCGGGTGTGGAGTGCGGGAAGCAGGCCTAGACTGCCACCCTGTGTCCTGCTTGGTCTGAAAAGCGGGCCCCACGCCATGTGGGGGGAAGAGACGGTGTGCCTGTGTCCACCCACCTGATGGGGGCCAGGTGGAGCCCAGACTCCTGCTGTCCCAGGGCGCTGGCGGAGGCGGGGCCTAGCCGGCTCGTCCTGTTCAGAGGAACTGCGGGCAGAGGCTTCCGGGGAGCGTTGGGCTTGTGAGTTCCCTGCAATAAACCACAGCAGGAGGCTCGGTCACCGTCACCAAGAACTGCGACAAGACACTGACCGCCGGAGCCACCAGAGTCCCCCGAGAAGTGGGCGACGGAGTATGGCAAGTCACTCTGTGGCACAGGCCTTATTCCCTGGGCACGCTTTCTGAATACCGTCCTCGCCATCCAAGGGGTGGTGGGGAGCAGGGCTGACCTTGGTTAACCTTCTTGCCCAAATTTTCTCTAACATTTAAGAGTGTCCCCAGCATCATGGAGTTATAAACGCTCAGAGCGGGTCTGCAGACGCCCTTCTGCCCAGGAGCCTCGAGCAGACGTTGATGCCAGTGGGCCGGGGCCAATGCCACCCGGGGACGGAAACTCTCCCGGAGAGGTTGGCGAACATCTTTCTAAACCACATTCATTTTTTTCAAGTTTTTCCCGAATCACACAATAGGACTTGTTCAACCAATGGATGAATTAGCTAATGAGGACAGTTGTCACCCATCAGAGTTGGTCCGTGTGCCAAAGGTCGGTCCAGATGCTCATGAGAAACGCTAAGGTTCTTCTACCACAATGCTTTTCAAAGATGAGATCGAAGCATCCAGACGCACCTGCGTGTCAAGGAGGAAAATCGAAGACACGGTGCTTTGAGAATGGGGACAGCCCTCTGAGAAAGCTGGTGGGAAGGTGTGGCTTTGACCAGAGACCAGCCAGGGAGTCAGCATGAACTTGAGGGTAGTTCTAATCTGGGTTTTCGCCAGAGACCAACACTTTGAACTTGTGACGCTCCCTTGATCTCACTGAACCTCAATTTCTCCCTCTGTAAAATGGGGGGACAGGACACAAAGCCTACCTAAATAATTCCTAGGAAGCTCTCAGAACACAGATAGCAATGATTAACAACCTCAGCCTTCCTTCATGGCACCGACTTTAAAATGCTTAATGGAAATAGGAGAAAAACGACAGAAACAGTGTAACAGTAAACTCACAAGTTTTCATGGGACCCCTCCCTGGACACATGTGGCAGGGCGTTCGCTAGGGCCAGGTTGGGGAGTCAGTCAGTGGTGAGGGTGCCCTCCTCCTGGGCCCAACGAACCCGGGGCTGGTCCCTGGAGCCAGAAACACTCACAAAGGCACAGGTCTTCCTCCGTGGAGACGGCACCTGCCGATGAGAGCGACCTGCTCACTGCCACGGGGCTGTTCCACACACCCAGGGACCCTCAGGGGGATTTTGAAACACTTGAGTTGAATTTCTCACAGTACTTATCCCACTCAAATTACATTTCCTCAGCAGTCGGCACTCAGTTGAAAGGATGCAACAGTATAACCACCACTGAACATCTCTCTGTAAAGACAGGACGCTCCCGTGGAAGCCAGAAAACCACAGCTGCAGGAAAACACGCTGAAACCGCGGGGCCAGGAGGGAACCACGGAGCAGGGACAGACGTGAAAGTGGCGTTTCTACATCAGTTCTCATGAAAGGAAACATGAACAGGCTGTGGAATATAAAAGAACACTGCCCGGCCGGTGTGGCTCAGGGTTGAGCGTCAACCCAGGCACCAAGAGGTTGTTGGTTCGATTTCTGGTCAGGGCACGTGCCCAGGTTGTGGACCCGATCCCCAGGGAGAGGCATGCAGGAGGCGGCCAATTGAAGTTCTTTCTCATCAATGTTTCTCTCTCTCTCAAATCAATAAAGAAAAAAATATTTTAAAAAAAGAACACATTCCTTAGCCAGGAACAGAGACCATGTAACGTCTAACAGCACGAGCACCAGGGTCAGGCTGTTTGCCCACCCGCTGGGCTCTGCACTCAGCTGGGTGAGCTCTTGTAAATTATTAAACTTGAAGTTTGAGAGTGGGGATGATACCAGTTCTTGGTGAGAACTTCAACAGAGAGATAGGAAACATAACAATGAAGAAAGAAAATGTAAAAAAGAACTAGTCACAGGTGAAGAATGCACTGGCTGAAGGGAAGACTACATTTCAGGGAATCAACAATGGAGTAGAAGAAACAGAGGATTAAATCAACTATTTGGAAGGTAAGGAAACAGAAAACGCCCAATCAGAAGAGCAACATGGAAAGAGACTTAAAAATGAGGATACTTTCAGAGGCCTGTGGAACAATATCAAGCGTAACAACATTTGTATCATAGGCGTATCAGAAGGAGAAGAGAACAGGGAAGGAATTGAAAACCGATGTAAAAAAAATAATGAGGGAAAACTTCCCTAACGTGGTGAAGGACATAGCACATATGTCCAGGAAGTGCACAGAGTCCCAAGCGAGATGAACCCAAAGAGGCCCACATCAAGACATTAAAATGCCACAGGTTAAAGACAAAGAGAGACTCTTAAAAGCAACAAGAGACAGGCAGTTAGTTACCTACAAGGGAGCTCCCATAGGACTGTCAGCTGATTTCTCAACAGGAACTTTCTAGGCCAGGAGGCAGTGGCAAGAAATATTCAAAGTGATGAAAAGCAAGATGACTCAGATGCAGAACAGATGAAGAGCTTCCCAGACAACACAAAGTAATACTTCCACGGTCTAATGGTAGGGAAAAGGGGTGGGGCGGGGTGGGTTTGAGAACAGCCAGATAAATCTAGTGCAGAGACGCACGGGAACAACAGGTTGGCAGATACAGCAGGTGATGCTGAGGATGAGTTAATGGTCATGGAGAAAAACAAAGTTGGATTCCTAGTCCATTGTATCCACTAAAATAAATAGCAGAGGGACCGAGTAAGTAAGTGTGACAAAATCATGAACCGTATACGAAACGGCAACATGTTTGCCACTTTGGGTGGGCAGGCCTTTCCAAACATGGGAACAAACCACCGCCGAGGAGATGGAAAAGGAAAGACGCAACTGATCTTAAACCCGTGAAAAGATGCCCCTCCTCATGCACAGGAAGAAAAAGGCAGATACCATTTTGTGTTTGAATGATCACACTGGCAAGGAGAAGAACATCTCTGAACACAGAGACGTGGGGATGCTGAAGGGGGGGCGTCAGAAATGGGGACGACTCCTTTGAGGCAGTTGGGTCAAACCGCTACCTGCACCTGACAGAGTGCCCCCAGGAAGTGGCCACACAGTCCGAGCGCGTGCCCAGGGTGCTCGGGCAAGGCTGCGCCCGTCGGAAGTTGCACGTATTGGGAACGAACCCCTGTGGCCGTCAGGAAGGGGCAGGTCAGCTCATTCCTGGGATGGCTCCACACTGAAACACCACCTGCCGGGTAGGCGGGGGGGGGGGGTGTAATCTCCATGCAACTGCCACGAAACAGCCAAACCAAGAAGATGCGTCGTCACTGCCGTTTAAATATAAAGGACCCAAGAGAAACCAGAACCACAGCTGGCGGATGACTGCTGACCCAGGTGATACGCGGACAAGGTTTTAGTGCCCTTCTGGCCCTCACTGGGAACGTGTGAACATTTCCACATCTCCCATAATCTCTCGCTCTGCAGGGAGAAGCAGGCGGGGTTGGAACATTCTGCGGTGTTCCAAGGGGCCTCTTACAAAAGCCTCCTCACAGCGATCACTCCTGGGGAGGGAGCCCGGCGACAGGTGGGAGGGGACTGTTTTCTGCAGAGACTGTTGGACTTGCAATTAGCGGCATGTGTCGCCTGTGACACAGCGTAAAGGTGAAAACACCAGGCGTCGGCTTCGTCCTGTGACCTGCGTGTGGACAGCCGTGGAGAGGAGCGGGAAGCGCACACTCCTCGGAATACGGTCATCGCGTGCGTGACTCCCCCTGAGGTTATTTTTCTCCAGGTTTGTCATGGGAATCATTTGTGGATGATACGAAAGCAAAGAACGTCGAGTCCACGTTTCTGGAAGTCTGGGCAGGCGGAGGTTGGCGGGAGATCACGCTCACGACAGCAACGTCTGCTTTACAGGAGGGAGGGACTTTGGCCTCTAGAACCCGGGACTCATCCCATGGGGCGCCCCACGGGGAATAACGGGGACTGGGACAAGGCCTACCTCGTCATATTTAAAATTCGCATGGATGCCGTGTGTTTCCTACAAGTCCACTCTAGGGACTGGACTTAAGTGTGCCCGGCGACGAAACACAGCCTGAGCCTTCTGCAGCGGGCAGAACCTCCCTCCAGGCCAGGCAGCAGGTGCCCGGTGCCAGGAGCCCTGTGGGCCCGGGGGTCTGGGAGGCCGGCGGAGAGAGGGGGGAACCCGGAGCAGAGAACAGGCACCGGGGGACGCCATCCAGCCCGTCTTCGTTGGTAGCTCTGGTTTGCCCGTTGCAACGCAGGCTTTTAAAGATCAGTCTTCTCCTATTTCATCTCGCTTCCGTGGGAGACCATCTTGAGGAATGGGTTTCCTTTGCTCGTCACACACTGGCATGGCTGATGAGCAAGGACCTACGTCATCCGGTTACCAGACTGTGTGGGTACTGGTCTGAATAGCAGACGCCCACAGAGGTCAGGAGGGTACAGGTCCTCATTCATTCAAACACTGGACCCTTCCGCTGGAGACTGAAACTCCGGGCTGGGCCTCGGCAGACCAGCCGCCGCCAGACTGTTCCAAAATCACGGTCTAAACGCGTTTGTTTTGCTCACGTGTATATCCTGATGGAGCACTCGCGAACGAGCTGCTGCTGCTTCCCGACAGCAGCCCGTGTCAGTCTCTCATCGCTCTCTTCGTGTGGGTCCTGGGAGGGAGCGGAGTAGACGCCCCGCCCTGTGGCTACTGAGGCCAAGTTTGATTGTCCTACAGCCTTTAGTCAGAAGAGACACCTGATTGGCCTGTCTTGCTCCACAAACCATGGAGCGTTGCATTCTACGGTCGTTGGGTAGGAGCAGTGTGGTGTGTGTCAGAAATGTGGCGTGGAAAACCCCCACTCGCACGGAAAACGCAGGGCCTTCTTCCTGTAAGATGCTACGGCTGTTCCAAGTGTGACTCCAGGGCTTCCGAACAGGAGCTGGTCCCAAGAAAGACCCATGTGGACAAGGGAGCCCGGAGCACGGCTGTGTTAGCAGCAGACAAGAGGAGAGATGCGAGATTCTTGTTC